CAAATTAATTGTCTTCGTTTCATTTCATTTCACTCCATATTATCATTTTAATAAATTAAATAAGACATGACTTAAAGGTCTTAGTTACCAGGCCATAAAATCTCTTTAAAAAAAAAAGATATCCGCCTGCGGGAATACACCTTGCGTTTTACCATTTAGAAAACGATACAAATCCGCGGTCAACTATACTAGAGCGCTTTCTCAATGGCTTTTATTGTCCATTATAAAGCAAAATATCCTGTCAAGGTCAACAATACAACAGACTCATTTCGTGATCTGGAACCAAGCCCAGTATTCATCAAAGACTTTATAATACGTTTCGCTTGGTTGCTTACAACAATATACTCATGCGTACCACATGTAAACATGGCCCTATTGATAGAGAAAAATATCGAGCTATGGCTATATATGAGTCGACTATTATCAAAGGCGGCAATCTGACTTTTGGACAATGATTGGTAAATCAGAAAAACGAATTATTGACTTTGTATTCCATTGGCAGTCACAAAACTCTTCGGAACGACATCTTAGATAAATAACAGGTTAACTATTAACCTTTATTTAATGCAGGTTTTGAACCGTATTCTTTGAAGGAGACGATTATATTCAAATAAATCTGTATTGACATATCAATAAAAAATTTTTGTCCAAATGTACAGATTGCCGCCTTTGATAATAGAAGACTCTTAAATAAAAATGAATTGCTGTTCGTTAGTCTCGCTAAAACTCGAGAACGGCTGGACCGATTTGGCTAATTTTGGTCTTGAATTATTTGTGGAAGTCCAGAGAAGGTTTAAAAGGTAGACAAATATGAAAATGCTCGGAATTAAATAAATGTTGTTTTTCCTTTGATGTGTCCCCCGTCGGACGGATTCCTTTTGTTTGTTTTAAGTTTATTTTACACATCCACTATCAAGCAAAAATAGAAATCAGAGTTATTAATTATAATATTTCGCACCATCCGCATTATACGCACCATCCTACAAATGTTTCGGTTATTTGGATGTGTAGCAGGTATCATAGAACAAAAGATATTTGACAGATTCCTGAATCACGCTAACGACATTTTCAAGATAAGCTTACATATTTACAAGTTCCCAAGAACAACATTTGTGCCGCCGGTCTAGCGTGCAATTTCATCCGCTAGGTGGAAGATCTTCCCTTTATCATCATCCTCCCAAAGATGCTTACGGTTACTGGACATGGCTTAAGATATTATGTGTACCTAACCAAAATACACGCATAGTTTAGGACAAATAATATGCTAGAGCTTACCTGCAATGTGATTATAATGGAAAAGGAAGATTAAACTGTTACAATACATTAAAAATATCCAGAGTAGCAGAAAGACTGAAGTAACAGGAATTGATGGAAGACACAACAACAAAACAAGGTGTATGGTGGCTGTCCGGCAATGGATGATGTATTTCTAATGTTATTCAAATGCAATATAATAAGTAATGAGCTTTGCAGTTTAACGAATTTGAGGATTTTATATATTTTCTGTTACCAGTCTCTTGCGGTATAGTTTTCATGGCAAATACTAGTCAGGTTTCATATTTTATGAACCCAGTCACCACAAGCTACTTCACTATCTTGGTTCTGTAGTAGCAGTACCTACATTTTCTACCAATTCTATAATTTAACTCTGCTACTAATTACTATCGTACCTAAAAATATGCATATGCACCATTTTCAAGAATTGACACATTTTTTTGCCTACCTACTGTTAGTATCCTCGAAGAGTGTTCTGTATATCACCAAATACTTCCCATACTTCACCAAATGTGTAGGTGAGCTCACGGAATTCAGCCTAGGAGACTTTGCTAACATCTACCTTAGCAAGGGCAGTGCTTTGCTGTATCAATAATTGATGAGAGAAAAGTGGCCGGTCAAAAACTATAAGACAAATAAAACATGGAAATTTGTAACGATTTGAACTAGTTTGATGAAATAATTCATTATTATCTTATTTATGCTTATACTATTAAAGTAACAAACACAAAGCTTTATTGGAGCTGTCTCATGTGATATTTAAAATTTTCACCGTAAATATTTATGAACTTAATAATAAAAAAATATTTTGAAAAAATGATGTTTGGTAAATTACGATTTTATTAATGAGAAAAAACTTGGAGTATATCTACTTGAACAGCTTATCAGTTAAAAAGTCCTACCCATTACTACCCATACAAGATAGACATACTAAACATATACTAGAGGGTATTATCGAGCTAATCTAAATTACAAGCCATTGAAATTACTGGTTTATGTATTAAACATAACAGCATAAATTTTAATCACAAAATATATTATACTGTTTTGAAATTTTTGCAATGTGTGATTCCTGGATTATTTAAATACATAATTATTTTATTCGAATTTTTATTCTGTTTTATCCCTGATTTCGTAAACTTGTGTGATATTTAAATTAATGCTTAAATGTCTGATGTATGACCAAAAATACTGGAACCTAAGATCTTAAAATCAATTATGAAAATTAAATAGAACTGTATTTTTTATTGATTGATAATTGACAAATTACGTAACCTTGGCTTACATCTTAGCTTAGCTTATTATTTGTACCACTTAAGCACAATAAATGAAGTACCTTGTGTACAATAAATTTATTAAAACTACAAGATAATGGAATTTTAAAAATATTGTGCAAAATGTACATTATAGTCATACTTTATCTCATTGGGATGTTTATAAATAGAAGATAAATATTTGATTGAGAGTAGTAGTAACACTAGTTGATAAGAATAAATATGTGAATTGAATTGTTTAAATTATGTACTTGTATGATTGATTATATTGTTTATAAGCACAAAGGATTGTGTTAAGTGTCAATTAAATCAGAACCGGTTTGCAAGCAAATAGAAAGAAGAATCTTGTGTTGAGAGTTGTTTTTATACTTCAATTTTTATTCTATATAAATTCTTTAGTACAAGAGTTTGCTTGTAAAAGATATTTGCAAATTATGTTTTCTAATAGCAGAAAACCAATTTCTTAAAAATCTAGCAATTTATTGGATTTCAAAATAGAATAATTTAATATCAGTGAAATATACAATGCTTGAATAATATAAATTGTACTAAAATAAAAATAAAACATCATTAAAATTATGACAATTATTTGATCATTTTCAATTTATGATTATCATTTACCAATTTATTAATACCAATCATAGATAATACACATGTACCGATTAACATAAGATGAAAAAACTGTAAAATTACTAACTCTTATAATAGAGGTTGATGGAGCTGATTTAGCACATCACATGAATGATATCAACCACCTTGATACATGAAATAAGTAAATCATATAATGTCACTGCTTGTTCTAATCTTCAAAACTATTCATGACTGCTTCTCAATAATAAAATGAGCTTATTCATGGTATCAAAACTAATGAGCAAGTTCCAATCAAAACCACATCAGTTTTTGGATATTTTTTATTACAATAGTTATAGCGTTCGTGATATTGCTTATAATTTAATATTTTAGGTTTAATACTTAAAATTCTCTCAATGAAAATGTAGCAGAATTTTATTTATTTAAGTGGCGTTTTAAATTGTGTAAAATATTTTATTCCACTATGATTTTTTCAAGTGTTATTGGTATGGTTTTTAAGCGCAAGTCAAAAATATATTGCTAAGGGAAGTAACTTTTGTGGTTAGATTTCTAAGACAAACAATTTTTAGTTTTTGTTTCTTATAATTACTACAGACTGCTTATTTAAGTCAACTGGCTTTGATGTGTACATGAGTTTTCAAATTATTCAAATAATATTAAACTTATTTCTTTTAATTGTAACCGAAACAAAAACTTCGGTTAAGTTTATAAATGGACTTAAATTTGTATTTACTTACAGTTACAATCCTATTAATAGTAGAATCACCAAGTACGTATACTGGTCTTTTAATTGTATGTAAATTATGGTGTATGCTAGGCGTATTCTTTATAAACTTTTTGAAAAATGGGCAATGATTAGCAAAAAAGCAACGCACTAACATACAATTTGACATTTTCACAGGTTAAAAAGTTACGGTTGTTAAAGTGTAATCTATGGAAATCAATGGGTACAGTACCGACTCAAAAGACTGTTACTCGTATCGAGTGATACGAATATGTACGCAGGTGCTTAACTACCGCAGACGGTGCCCATTTCTACCCCGAAAACATGCATTCCTGTTTAAAAGGTCGGGATAGTCGTAGGACTCGTAAGACAATAGAAGTGAGACATCAACGTCTTATCTCAAGGTGAAGACACTCACTTTGCCGCGTTGTGATGTCTAGAGGTTCTATTAACCGCTTAACCCTTTGTCTGTTAAATAAGCACTTTGCAAAATTTTGTTTCTGCATTTTTCTACTTGGTTTTTAAACAACCCACATTTTGGGATCTAGTCTAAGTATAAAGCGTGAAGCAATAGCGTAATCGAATCAAGTGATGCAACGCTGTCGGTGCGTATAACCATGTACCAATATTGGCAGGAAATAATTACCGTTACAGTTCGCTCTCACCAGTTCCCACATAGAAGCCTGCCGTATTCCAAACATGGTTATATCGCAAAACTTTATAATAGAAAATAAGTATTTAAATATTAGTCCAACACAATTTCTAAGGATATTAATAAAAAAAACATGTTTACATGAATATCGTTTATTAACTATAAATTGTTTGTTCTACACAGGCAAAGTAACTCATCGCGGCGTTGTCCGTTTTAAGGCACTGGTCGAGTAACAGACTCGCCGGACAAAACGGTTACGCAAAGAATGTTTCCTTTCACCTATCACGGACGGGTTCTTCATTAAGCAAACAACAAAACATAATATAATTTAAAATATATTGATGACTGTTTAGTCTTTAGACAATCGTAAGGATAGTAAGTTTACTGTGGGCTTAGTGCGAGTTTTTTAATGTTCTCAATAGCGTAGAGGTTAAATCAAATTTGTATGCAGTTGGAACAGCGTCCTTAGCGGCAAACATAGGCAAACGTTCCAACTCCATACAGTGTTAGTTTTTTTTTAATTGCTTAGATGGGTTAACGAGCTCACAGCCCACCTGGTGTTAAGTGGTTTCTGGAGCCCATAGACATCTACAAAGTAAATGCGCCACCTACCTTGAGATATAAGTTCTAAGGTCTCAGTATAGTTACAACGGCTGCCCCACCCTTCAAACCGAAACGCATTACTGCTTCACGGCAGGAATAGGCGGGGTGGTGGTACCTACCCGTGCGGACTTACAAGACGTCCTACCACCAGTAAAGTTTAACGCTATCTAGAACGTTAAAAAACTCGCATTAAGCACACTGGAGACAAAGAATTTTACAATGCATGTTTACGTTCCTAATAGTTGTCTAAGAACAACGTTCACGGATTTTTTCTACTATGTTCGTGCGTTGGCTGTGTGCTTAGTGTGAGTTTTTTAACATTTTCGATAGCGTAAAAGTTAGCCCAATTTTGTATGCAGTTAGAACAGCGCCCCTAGCGGCATACGTAGGCAAACGATCCCATTCCATACAAATATGAACGTTAAACAACTCGCATTAAGCACACTGAGCTCGGCGTATTTACACGAAACGTGAGCGTTTAGGTTTCAATTTACAAGAGAATGTCGCCTTTAGAATCTAGCATCTTGCTCTAAGTTCAGTATTTTTAAAGCGCGAAGTATTTTGCATAAACATATTATTAGGAATGGAGCTCTACTCCCGTAACAAGTGGTGTGGTCATAAAAACGAAGTCTTAGTTGCTTGCGCCGAAGAATCCACAGAAATTCGGTGTTCGAAAAAAAAAAAAATTTTCAGCACGAATTACCCTCCCCAATAGAAGGAGTTATTATAGGAGATAAGTCTAGAGTACCTATGAATTTGAGGCAGATGCGTGACGTTAATGTGGTTTCACTTGTACAGTAAGATACGACAGAGCACGGTCGTCGTGGTATGTGAAAGATCACAAGAGTGCTTAGTGCGAGTTGTGTGAGAATTAAAAAACATTCAAATACCTAACTGTGTTCAAAAAGTATTAAGTTAGGTCATCTGGTCCCATTATTGACACCAGAGGGCGCTATTTTGATCCCTTTGATTAGGTAATCGATGCGTTCGAATAAACAGAAATACTCGCCCTAAGCATAATGATAAATCATAAATTATAATTAATATTATTTCACACACATTAATAAAGCCGATTGTCTAGTGGCAGGTTGCATGTGAAATATCACTAAAAAGTAGGTTCTTGTCAATGGGTTAGAGTCGCGAAGTGTGATTCATGCTTAGCATCTTATTCGACATCTCCGAAATGGAACATTGAATGGTAAATCGCATTATTTTCTAATATTTTATGCGAATTCTAAGACAACATTGGAAACATGTGCTATGGAAATTGTTATTTTTAAATTAAAATTACGAAATGGTGATATAAAATTCAGTGAAGAAACTTTTTGACACAAATTTTAATAAATTAGCTTTAATTCTACAAAAATATAATTTCTATATTACATTGAATATGATTATAATCAATACTGATCTATACAGGACTGATAAATACAACATTAAGTGCAATATAATTATTATTTATGTGAACAAAAAAATTGTTTCGATAAAGAAGAGTGTATATTTTACTAGTTTGAATCAAAATAGATATGTATTTTAAAACAATGATAGTTACAATGCAGTCTAATGTAAGGAATGTTTTTTTTCAATTATCATAATAAAGCTCTGTCTATCCTATGTGAATTGTCGATGTGTCTTAAAATATTTTAATACTTAAATTCATAAGATCTCATCTAAGGACGCATACGTTATAATATTTTTCTTCGATATTAGCCAGTTCTAAATATAATAAAAATCAAAACTAATTTTATGGTTTAATATCTCGCGTTTTTTTATATGTTCGTGATCACGAAAACTGCAGTGTTCGAAACGTCAGAAATAACATTAACAATAAAAAAAAAACGCGGGAATAAGCCGTAAAATTACATTTTGTTAACATTAAAATTGTGAATCAGTAATTTTGAATGTTCGAGATGGGAGAGTTAGGAATGTCACCTCCTCCATGTCCAATAGTTTTATATTGAATATAATTGAATATAAAATGCGTTTTACAGTTACAAATAATTCGAGTAATCTCGGACCGGACCATAGCGTTAGCTTAAGAATCGAAATCAATTATAATGATACTAGCGACCCGCCCTCGCTTCGCTTCGGAAACTGTAATTTATTATTGGTTTCTTCACTATTTAATGGATGTTATTATACATATAAAGTTTATATTCCTCTTCAATCACTCTATCTATTAAAAACAAAGGGCATCCAAATCCGTTGCGTAGTTTTAAAAATTTAAGCATACATAGGTATATAGGGACAGAGAAAGCGACTTTGTTTTATACTATGTAGTGATAGTGATGTAGTTATGGTCACCCTTGAAGGCGAGGAGACATATTGCTATCTCACTCGCTCTTGCGTTCGAATTTTGATTAAAAAACAAAGTTTTAATCATTGAACAATAGCTTGCGGAAGACGGTATTTTACTCTAGTATTACTTGCAGTGTGTTTGAAAACCTTTAATTTCTATAAATTCCGCGTGCCTCTTCAATAATTGTGTCTAATGAGATCAACAGTTAAATGCATAGTACATTAAGGAACATTTGTTTACTTCCCGACATTAGAAGTATTTAATCTATTTTTTCAACAATTGCTAAGGTTTCGTGTATAGATTTCGTCCTTCGCTTGGGATCGCGACTTCTAGATTACTGTCATTCAATTATTTAAAGAAATCGCGTCATAAAAATTATCGCTGAGATATTCCTGATACATTTTTATAACAATTTTACATATTCGGAAAAGTTAAATCTTTGATTTCCGATCATGCTGCTCCTAATGTCGAGATTTATCATCTAGAAACGATTTTAGTAAAGACAAGAAGACTATTTTATAAACAAAACGTAACATTACTTATATACTTAAATAAATTTGGTCTACATTTACCCCTTGCGCTAAGTGAACGACTTAGATTTCAATTTTAATTTAAATCTTATAATATTATCTAAATCCTTATATTGTATATAAATAATACTGCAGAAAAAGGTACTATTTCGAAATTTGACACAAAGATTCTAATCTATATTTACTAAAGGCTCATAGATCAAAAGACAAGAATATGTGCCTATTAAATACTTTTAGAATAGATACTTACTTGTGTGTTTGTTTCGTCTCAGTTTAGAGACCACTTGAGCTAATTTTTGTAAACCGGATTTAATTCCGTTATCGTTAAAAGAAAATTCCTTAATTTATGTTGGTTAATAATTCTATGTATAACATCCTTAATAATTGTCGATAGATTTTTTGGGCTTACCAGTAAGATATTTTAGTTTGCTTTAAATAAGAGTTAAAATTATATGTTCCATAGAAAAATTTTCAAATCCCTTTAAGGCATTTAGAACAAAATTGTAAACTAAATTTATGCTTTTCCTGAACAAGACAAATTACACTATTTAAAAAAAAAATTGGTTGAGCTGAATGGAGAAACATTTCCATTATGTGTTATTTCAACTAACATCCAACACATGCGATTTTGGTAGATTCATCTTTCTTGAACGTGCGAAGGTAGCTGGTACGTTTTGAATTTGCGATACATCGCGCGTCATTTGATTTTAGATTCTATGAAATTAAGACACGAATATTAATAAAGTACATGATTTTTAGTGTTTGGTGTTTTCTATTATAAATTACCTGGAAAACTTAACACATCGTATATAATATAATCGTAAGTCAGTAAATAAAAGATAATTTTTTGCGCTATTTCCCTTTTTTTTTAACCTGTCGAAGGATGGTCGCTTTTTTTTGGCAAAGACCCATGATACATTAAATTTAATTGTTTTTTTTAATATTTAAAAATACAAATAATTATTCATAAGACAATTACATGAGATATGATGAAGTAAACTTAACATACATACGTGTCTTTCCATCACATTATAAATATATTTTTAAAATCTATCTAGAACCTTTTAACTATGAATAAAATAAGAAAAAAACACTACTGCCATTTTGTTTTGTTACGTGGCGACAGAGACAGTAAACATTGTAACTGAAAATAACACAGACAGAGCGTGTTTTAAAAATATTATATTAAAATAATTAATGTTAAGCTAATTCTATAATTAAATGTCGAAATATATTATACACTAGCGACCGCCCTCGCTTCGCTTCGGAAACATTAAATTTTATTATTGATAGCTGAGTCCCGCGATGTTACCCGCGGTTATTGTCTTACCGCGTGGCGAAGCTAGTCTAAAAAAAGTAGCATAAGTTACTCCTTATATTATCAGATACCTATCAGTGAAAGTCTCGTCAAAATCGGTCCAGCCGTTATAGAGATTAGCCGGAGCCCGGAACAAACAGACAGACAGACAAAAATTGTTAAAAAAATTATTTTTGTGTATGTACCGTATGTATATTCATATGCATGTATTAAATAGCGGTTATTTCAATATTACAAACAGACACTCCAATTTTATTTATATGTATAGATTATGAAAACACTTCTGTCACTGCCTGTACATATTGAGAATCGTTTCGACGTAAGTACACTTCCAATTTCTTTCTTCTGATTTTATTAAGCCGCCCCATTATACTAAGATACATTATAACAAATTACTGATATGATTTTTTCATAGCTCTATATGTGCTAATTGATTGTCTGATTTATTATTGTTCGTTTTTTGATACTTTTACATCATATTTTCTTGTGTGTAGTAAAGTAAATTCCACTCATATATAGTAACTACATAAACGAAAGAAGTTTAATTAAAAAAATTGAGATCCCTCTTAAACGAGAATTTTTTGTTAGTGTATAATAATATAGTGTGCATGCTAATGACAGATGCACACATTGTAGTACTTAAACAAGGACACATACGAGTGTATAATGGCGGCTATCGTTTCACGTATTTGTTGTAGTAGATAAAAAATAGTGAGTTTTCCTAAAAAAAAGCGTTGACATTCGTTTGCTAACGGAGTATCGTATTTATATATTTTAGATATTTTTCGCAAATATAGTGAGATAATTTATTAATAAGGTCTCCTATGTAAATTTAGTAAGTAAACAGGTTCGTGTCATAATTGTGTTAACTTCGTAAGACGTTAATCTTGAGTTTTGTGATACGTCATATAGTTTTGTATATAGTTACACAGTTGACAAGTTTATTCATGACACTTGACAGCCGTTGGCCGAGAGGGAGAAAGATAAAAATAAACTTTACGCGATTTCTCTATCTAATTTCGTTATACTGGCCTTAACGATTTCTAGAGACGAGATGAATCTTTAGTACTTTAGAAACTTGTACACATTCGCAGTCGTTCGTCCCGCGTTTAGATCTTATTGTGTCAGTGTCGCAAACGAACTTGTTGACGTATATCTTTCGATTTGAACGTGACGCGCGCGTGTGCGTGCGTGCGTGTGTGCGTGCGTGCGTGCGTGTGTGCGTGCGTGCGTGTGTACGTGCGTGCGTGCGCGCGCGTGCGTGTCTAGGAGAAGCTGTCCTGTTCGCACTCGTCCCAGCTGTCGCACTCGTACTGGTCGCAGTCGTAGTCGATGTCGCAGGCGGCGTGGCCGGTCGCGTCCGAGCTGATGTCCGTGAGCGCCGCGTCCGACACCGGCTTCGACGATATGTCTAGGATCTGGAAAATAAAAATTAACACGGAATTGACGGATTGACACGGTTTAATTCGTTTATGTATGTATATGATATACTTTTAAGAAAATGACTCAAATACAGACGATAAAGTAGTTAGAGAAGGAACACGAACAAAGTTGGAGCTTTTTTACTTTTTTTATTGCTTAGGTGGGTGGACGACCTCACGGCCCACCTGATGTTAAGTGGTTACCGGAGCCCATAGACATCTACAACGTTAATGCCACCACCCACTTTGAGATAGCTATTCTCAGTATAGTTAAAACGGCTGCCCCACCCTTCGGAACGGAATGTATTACTATTGCATTGCGGCAGAAATAGACATATATATGGTGGTACCTACCCGTACGGACTCAGAAGAGGTCGTACCACAAGTAGAGTATAGTATAGCAAAATAGAGTACTAGAACGTAAGATCTGTGAGCGTTCAAGCCGATGTCAAACTTCACAAAAGCAACATCTGCTGTAGGAATTCAAGACGCACTTTTGGCAATTTTAATTTAAGTGTTTAATATGTTATGTACGTACGTCAGCTGAAGATCGTAGACTGTAGTTATCCGAGTGAGCGTCTCGATCAGCAGTCGACAGAGCGTGCAGAGCCACGGAACTTCGCTTTGGTTCTTCTCGAGAAACGTTCTTTTCCTCTGAACGGACGGCCACTTCGGATGGGTTCGAACGTTCTGTGATGAAATTATTAATACATAAATAATTATATGGAGGAGATTGGCAAAGAAAGCACATTGTTAACTAATAGTTCATCTTATATAAATACTTTTCAAATATTAAATAGGTTACAATCTTTATTACTGTTCAGTCTGGTCGAAAATAATTACACAGTTTAGCGTAAAAGTAAAGTTAATCTTTTTTAGCCTTAACAAGAAATAATGTCAAAAATAAATCAAAAGAGATAACGTAATAGTAACGTAATGTGTCTGTTTAAAGTGTATCTATGAATTATGTATGCATTATGTAATTATAAATAGGAATTCATGAATGGCAAAACCTACCTTTAGCCACGGGATCGACTTGGTCTACGGGTGACCCACTTCTTGGTGATAAGCTCCCGTTATAGTACATTTCAGGATTCGCTTCATCACGATCTAAAAAAAAGCTTAATATTATCCTCTCGACAATGACAAAAGCGTAATATGAAACGACATGGGAATGTCGCCAGTGACCTTGAGACATGAGATTGAAGTATCAGTTATATTGTGTAACAGTTGGCCCAACTCTTCGAATAAACAGGATGGTGATATCTGGTGGGGGCTTCCACTGCGTCTTACCACCAGTAAATGCCGGCTTGTGCGTTGTTATGCTACTTAGAGCAAGCTGTTGCCCATTACCGGGGAATCCTTTACTTATTGGTTTACCGCCCATGGGTAGAGATGGGATGGTGCTGTTATACTCCGACACCACCCAGCCATAATGTTACGGTAAGGCAGTAAAGTTAAACCGTCTCTAGCAGATATAAACATATTATATAATATATTACATTATATGTTAAAAAAAAATTTTTTTAATTCACTATAAAAACTTACCGCAGTCAATGATCTCGTGGAAGACGTAATTAGCAATGGCGACATGCTGTTTTATCCACGGGTGAGACATCAGCTGCGTTATTGTGCATCTGTTCGCGGGATCCTTGCACAGCATCCATCGGAGGAGCTGCTCTAAGTCTGTACACGATACATTAGAGTTAAGTGTGAATTTGTTTTATCTATATTATAGCAGTAGGTTTTATGTTGGCATTATTGCCCAAATCGAAGAACGTTAATTCTTATTAAATCAAAAGGAACTCGAAAAAATTCTTCGAAAGAAATTTCCCTCTAAAGAGAAGCGATTCTAGTATCTTGATAGAAGAGTTTCTTGGGCGGTATCCCAAACAGAGTTCAAACACACACATTATTGCTTTGCTAACCTAAGCTATGAAACTTACTTTAAGAATTAATGAATTAAGAAATTTTATTTAACATGTTTAAAGAATTGTTAAAAAAAATTTTAATTTTTTTTGTTTCTTAGATGGGTGGACGAGCTCACAAGCCCACCTGGTGTTAAGTGGTTACTGGAGCCCATAGACATCTACAACGTAAATGCGCCACCCACCTTGAGATATAAGTTGTAAGCTCTCAGTATAGTTACAACGGCTGCCCCGCCCTTCAAGCCGAAACGCATTACTGCTTCACGGCAGAAATAGGCAGGGCGGTGGTACCTACCCGCGCGGACTCACAGCAGGTCCTGCCAATTGTTCGTACCTAATTGATGTATGAAATATTTAAAAAAAGAAAACTTGTAATGCAACATGGGTGAGTGACAGTGATTTTTATAGAAAATGTGACACTTTATATTGTATGCGTTGTAAACGTACCTTCTGATACCAAGTGCGGAAAGGTAAGCGGCCCTTGGATAGTGTCTTCGATGTCAGAGAATGGATCAACGAAAAACGTCAGAACGTATAACGTTATACCCATTGACCACATCTCTAGTTCCGGACCGGCGTACCTGAAAATTTTGTTTTATTAAAGCATCGTTCATCAAAGCATTCTTGGTCCTCGTTTACTCAAATATTCTGAGTTGACACTTATCATCGGATATGATAAAAAAATACAGTTAGCACTATTTTATCGAAGTCCGACATGGCAACTCACGCTAATCAAATAGGACTTTTTGGCGGGAACGTGAGGAGTGAAGTTATGTGATTTGTTTTATTTTGTTTATTTAGTGTTTCTTTAGGTTTAAATGTGTGATAACGGTGGTTTATTAACTGTTTAGTATCTGTGAAACTTCACAAATGCGGGAAATTGAAACGAAGCCGCTGAACGTAACTTCTCGCGATCCTCCAAAAAGTCTACTGAAAAAGTCTCAGTAAATGACCACAATTTTACTAAGATTATATTTCATCCTATATCATCTCATCTCATTTCATTTCGTTTTTATTTAACTTCATTTTATTTCATAATATCATTATTCATATAAAAAAGTTTTCATTAAAATTAAAATAAGACTTGACCCAAAGGTCTTAGTTACCAGGTCATAAAATTTCTTAAAAAAAGCTAACTAAATGTGTATGTAGTAAAAAACAAGTTTATTTATTAAATACTTTTTCGTCTAACTTGGTGGCAGTTCAATCCTGCAAGTTTACCAAAACAATCATATAACGGTAACATCGAGTTAATGTTTTAAGACGCACGGCCTTGATATATATATTTACATTGTTCACAAATATTTTAATGCTATTTTTAATTATTTTATAAATACTTACTTATTTCCCGCCAACACTTCAGGACTGCAGTATTCAGTGGTTCCGTAGAAAGTAGAGAAGAGAGAATCCTTGCTCATAAAAGTTGCTGAACCGAAATCGATTAACTTCACGTGAAACTTGTTATCGATTATAATGTTCTCGTCTTTTATGTCTCGGTGCAGGATGTTCAGCGAGTGGAGGTACTCGACCGCCTGTCCAACCTGAAATACAAATTATTAATTTCATTTAATAATGGAATTCACATACGTACTATTAAGATCGTCTTTTAATTGACAGGAGACTGGCCTGGTCTCTAGTTAGGAGTTGAATCTTTTCCAAAACTTGATTCGATACAAAGTTACTCAAGTATCAAGTTGTTTCGGTTTTGGCCGAGGGTAAACCAGCATAGGTACGTACCACCAACTTGCCCTTTTCTACTGCTGGCAATTATGCGTTCCGATTTAGAAGGTAGGGGCCGCAAACCGTTTAACAATAAAATAAAGAGTTGGACCCCATGTCTAATGATATGACACGTCAATGCTGCTACCGACCTTAAGACCAGAGACTCAATGATATGTTTGATGTTTAAGTCGGGTTTATTTGCTGCATAAAAATAAACTCTACGGTAAGCATTTGTTTGCATGGTAGTTGATTGTTATATTGTTATTGAAACAAACATTAAACTATACCTGTCTAAATATATAGCTCAACAAGGGTTCATCCATTCTCGGACGTCGTTCTATGAACTCGAACAAATCCATGCCGGCACCGTGTTTCTCCATGACCATTTGGAAATATTTCTCGTTTTCATATACGTCCACTAAACTAACCTGTACAGGAGAATTAACGGATATCAGTGATTCTCATTATGGCAGTTCCAAACTTAAAAGATACGTCCAAATTTTATAATTAACAAAAAAGTGTGTGTCTGGTAGAAGTCACGGTAGAAGTGGAACTTATAAATAAGATATAGATATACTGAACTATACCACAAAACAGGAGCATAGAGAAGCAGAGGATAATGTTTAGTAGACGATAGTGGGGATGCTACGAAGAGTCGCACAAAGAGGAGACCGAGAACGTCTAATGTGTTCTATCTCATTCTCTCGCCGGCTGAATCCTATATATTTTAGTGTTTGTGTCTCTATGGACTTATTTTTTCGTTTCATCGAGTTTGAAATCCGAACGATTCTAAAGAAGTTTCACTTCAAAAACAGTGCATTTAGTACGTTCTGAATGTTTGATATCTTGTCTCGGGGACACTTAACAAACCACTATAACGTGAACTTACAATATTAGGGTGCTTCAATGTGAGCAAGAGACTTAGCTCCAATGGCACTTTCTTCCCGTCCGGCCCGTCGACCAGGAACAGTGGACCGATCTTCTCTTTCAGTATAAACTTGGTCACGGTCAGCAAACGATCGGAACGACGATACGCCATCTTTACGCAGCCGTAGGCGCCTTTACCTGAAAATGAATATTATCGATAATATCCACAATTGAACTGCAATTTATAAAGTAATGATTAGGTGTTATAATTATTTAACGTTTTATGATTTCATTTATTGTGTTCCCATTATTTCATACTAATCATTTCGGACAGTAATATTCATTTAAAAATCGAGTTTTAGTAGAATGTGTTTTAAGAAGCACGATCGTTCTTTAAATTTACTAGTTAATCAACAATTCAGATCCATTTCCTAATGATTCTAAATGCCTGGGGAAACAAAAGGCTCCCCGATTTCTATTGTAATCTGTGTTCAGGATGTGCTAGCATATAAAGTTTAATTACATAAAATACCTATCATAAAATGTTATTTAAATTTGTATTCAAACAAAAAATCTGACAATTTGTGAAATTATTCAATTAGTTGATAACTTGAGCTTGACCAGAAATTTAAAAACTACCCTTGTATGATATTGTTATATTGCTCTATAGTTGAGGTATAATGTTGATTTATAATAGTATTTAGAGCTCACCAATCTGTTTCAAAGTAACATAATGTTTGCTGTATTCTCCTGCAACTTGTTCGTCTCCACCCTGGCTCACCAAGGACATGGACTGCGGTCTGCTGCCAGCAGATTTGTTGCCCTTTAAAATAATATTCAAAGATTTAATTTTTTTGCTACAATAGTAATTAAAATCTTAAAAAAAAGTGATTATATATAGATATATGTGTATATGTATATATATATATATATATATATATAATTATACGGTATATGAATTATAATTATCAGTTTGGTTATTTTCACATTAAGTAATGCACCTACCACAGGATTCTCTACACCACCCTTGCTTGACTGGTAGAGAATGCCTTAGGCATTAAGTCCGCCATTGTACTTCTGTGCATGAAGCTAAATAAATAAATAAAATCTTTCTTTTACATGTAATTTAACTAACAAGTACGAGCGAGTTGTCGGCCGTGGACGTGAGGCTGGAGGCGACCGTGTTGTGTCGCGGCGCGTCCTCCAGCTGCACGCCGAGCCACACGCAGCGCACGCTCCGCCCGCCCGCCAACTGCATGCTCGACACCGTGTACACCACGTCTGGAATCAAACGAAAAGGAATCGTCTAATTTTAAATTTCGTTCAATACACATTTGACATCTGTCACATTTGACACTTACTGGTGGCAGGACGTCTTGTGAGTCCGAACGGGTAGGTACCACCGCCCAGCCTATTTCAGCCGTGAAGCAGTAATGCGTTTCGGTTTGAAGGGTGGGGCAGCCGTTGTAACTATACTAAGCCTTAGAACTTTATCTCAAGGTGGGTGGCGCATTTACGTTGTAGACGTCTATGAGCTCCAGTAACCACTTAACACCAGGTGGGCTGTGAGCTCGTCCACCCATCTAAACAATAAAATAAAAAAAACTAGCGAGCATAGCGATTTTTTGCAAAATAAGTTACGTGCCATTTTTTTTATAAGCCGCGCCAATAAAGAAATGAATCTAAAATGGCGGCGGCGATCATGCGCTCTCACTCTAAGCTATTCCAGTCTTTAGTCGCACACGGCGCGTACTGCATGCAAAAAAAAAATCAGTTCTGACTTTGTTGTTGAGTTCGAGTTTTTTCACTTTCGAGTTGTGCGACTTAGATGACTGGCAGCAAAAGTGTCTACGCAGGTGCATCTCAGATGAGACACCTCCCCCTTTACCAGGGCATAAAGTAAAGTACATTCTCATTTGTTTTTTTATATTTTTTTACAATAAACAACTTTTTCTTTCTATCTTTCTTTTTATTTGTTGACCCTACCCTACCATCTATCAGTGCAGGTACATAGACGTCATTTTCGATTCGTTTCTTTATTGGCGCGGTTTATACATTGATAATACCGTTATGACGGTAAGAGTTACGCCATCTATCGCCGAATAGCATAAGCGTTGTAGAGATCGCATGAAAGCAGTTAGTAATCGGAACTACTCGAAGCGAAACAGCTAACGGATCACCTGAAGCGAACCGGAAGAAGTGAATTACAAAGTGTAAAGTGTTCTCTGAGTGTTCTAAGTACAGTTTTAATTTGTAATATTTGCGTCATAATACTATACTAAAGTAAGGCCAACCAGACGAGATAAAAAATGTAAACAAAGTTTTAGGAGTAAAAAACATTTTTATTTAAATAAATTATTACAAAGTTCGAATTTTAATCGCTGTCATCTGTACTAGACAAAGATGATTCGTCGGAAGAGTCAGCTGTGTTTATGATAAAACTATCTATTGTATTATCAATCATGTTGTCAATATTGCTATAAAAATTGTCCTCGACTTTTATAACATGATCCACACAATTTCGCCATTTATCAGCAGATACACGTTGGATCCCCTCTTGTAGCAGTTTTTTCATATCTTCAAATTTAAATGTAGTATTATTGCGAGCTACGTGTCCCTTTATGTCAGCCCATACGAGTTCAATGGGATTGAGCTCGCAATGATAAGGTGGCAGTCTTAGGACTTCCACCTTAAAATTTTTTGCAAGCTCATCCACAGCATAACTTTGGTAGTTCGCCTTTACGTCATTCACTTTCTTTAAAAGTTCTGCCTTTACGTCTTTTTCATCATAGCTTAGATCTTAGTACAAATGAATTAATAAATTAACTTACCTTTTGACGCTTTTTGCGTGGTGAATTCATTTTAGAGCCGCCAGGCTGTGATTCCATAATTAAAATCAACAACTAAGTACTCACAATAATAGCAAAAATCAAAAATAAAACTAACAAAAACGGAATAATAACAACAACAAATCAAGTAAATACGGAAACGAAAAAATATGTATCACTTCGAACGCAATCCAAACAGGTAGGAACTTGTTCACAAAATGGCGGACCAAATGTTGACAACTGCGGTACCCAGTGCTTTCCTGTACCACAAAAACCACAACGACAGCTGTTGTCGACCAACTGACGCCATAACTGCGCGTACGAGTGATAAGGACAGAGATAATAATCCCTCGCTATCGCAATGTAACTCAGTAACGGTCCGCTTGTTTACGTTTATTATCTTGTCTGGTTGGCCTAAGTTTAGAAGCTATTTCTATAGTTTAAAAAATAATCATTAATGTCTTTCAGCCCTTTACAGAGTTCAGTGTGCTTAGTGCGAGTTTTTTAACTTCTCGATCGCGTAAAAGTTAACTCAAATTTGTATGGAGTTGGAACAGCGCCCCTAGCGGCAAAAGCACACGTACTCTACTTCCTTGGTCACAATATACCTTATCGCCATTATAAGGATACTGACTGAGTTCGGTCCCGTCTCGGTGCATGACGACGCCCCTGTAGGTGCCGTCGCGGTGCCGACAGTCGACGGCGCACGTGTCGGCGGGCCGGTCGCGCGTGTTCTGCGGCGTCGACGTCACGTGCGCGCGCAGCAAACGTTTGGCGACGCACGGAGTCACGGGAACCTCCTCTGAAACGTAATTGTGGTGAGCGGTATTATTGTTGGCACCACACCCAATTGACGCAAGTTTTGTAAGTAAGCTTGGTTTCGGATGAACTAAATGAGTCTTGATGTCACCTGATTTATACTGTTAAGTAATATTTATCAGCATGTTAGTGGAAATTATTTTACAGTTTACCCCGTGGGAAGTTTTTTATTTAAACACTAGCGACCCGCCCTCGCTTCGCTTCGGAAACATTAAATTTTATTATTGATAGTCGAGTCCCGCGATGTTACCCGCGGTTATTGGCGTACCGCGGGTGACGCCGCGTGGCGAAGCTAGTCTAAAAAAAGTAGCCTAAGTTACTCCTTATATCATAAGCTACCTATCAGTGAAAGTCTCGTCAAAATCGATCCAACCGTTTCGGGGATTAGCCGGAACAAACAGACGGACAGACAAACACACCGAGAAAAATTGTAAAAAATGTTATTTTGGTGTATGTACCGTATATAATATATTTATATGCATGTACTAAAAAGCGATTATTTCAATATTACAAACAGACACTTCAATTTTATCTATATGTAAAGATTTGGTAAATATTGACTCACCGTCAAATCTTTTTCCCGGCGCTGACTCGGTCTGTGTCTCCAAATCGTTGTCGTTGCTCAAGCTGTCGACGCTATCGTTTCCGTTGTGTTTTGGTAGATCCTCGATTTCACATCCCGGGGGCGGCATCTCATTTATCGGAGTGAGAAAATCTGCACTCGTTTCATTCGAATCACAATAATCCAGGGAGAGACTGCTCTTGTCGTCCCTAACTTGTCCGGGCAAGGTGGCTTTTAGAGATCTGTATTTACTGGAATCAAACGACAGTCGCAAGGAAGGATCGCTAAGTCGGACTCGAGGCGTCCCTCCAGTAGGCGTCACTTCGGAGTGCTGAGATGTATAATATACGGATTCCGATTTATCACAAGGTTTTGTTGCCAGCGGTTTAACAGGGTTTCCCTGTTCCGATCTCAATATGTTCTCGGATCTTGATTTCGAAATACTACTCGAGCAGAAGTTGTCGTCGTCAATAGATATACCCGACATCGCTGACGTCACGTCCGGCAGCGCGGACACGTCGTTCCGCTGTTCCGTAGTGCTGATACTGGACACCATGTCCTGGGTGGGCGTCGGAGTGTGAGTGATCATGCTGATCGACTTGTCAAGGCATAATGCGCTGGATGATTTCTCTCGAGTTGTCGAAAGTAAGGATTGCTGGACGTTAAGAGACATACAAGCTGACTTCTGGCTGCCGTTGAACGCGCCGCACGAATCGTCGTCCGTGTCCGATGCTGGAATAAACAAATTAGTGGTTTATTTGAATTATGAATTCGGGTACTATAAAGTGACAGTGATTAATCTAAACACAAGTAAGAGTATTTAATCGATGCTATACCTTTACAACTGACGCGTACAACACAAAAATCGATGGCTTCAAAACATACTAGTCGTACTCGCCTGCTCCGCTGATCATTTAAAATTAACATTATTATTTATTGTCATTATCCTTAGGGAGTCCAACACTCATAAACATTAGCCTATCCATTAAGTACATGTGTTTTCTACATGGATACCAAGTTTCAAGTCAATCGGATGCATGGTTCGGTAGTTATAAGTATAGTAAGTAGATACCTATATAAGTTGACGCGGAACATGATCATCACCTGCCTGCATGCTAGCTTAGCAAATTGTCATTGTTTTCTGTTATTGATATAACACCGAAGTACGGTAGTATAATACCAAAGTACTTACCAGAAGGATTATCTTCGTTATTAACAGGAGACAAAGTCATATTGCGAGCTCTGTCGGGCAATTTTACTATATCAGATTCGCGGCAGAAGAACTGTATGACGTCATCGATGTGATGACCGATCACTTCTGAATGCGGCTTTCCGAACGTCAACATAGCAAAGTGATGGTTGCAAGCGGTTATAATTCCAGCCTCGTCGACGACTAGAAGGCCGCTAACATTGTATGTCACCTGGGAAAAAAGGTGAGATTAAGAAAGGTAGATGATCTAACTAACACCCACCACTTTTAGATCTTCAGCTAGAAGACTGAAGCCTCATTAGTAAAATGGCTGTATGGATACATTGGAAGGCGAAATGCATTGTTTTAGGGCAAGCCAACAGTAGTAACTAATAGTACGGATTTTAACATGCTCCTTCAGTACCGGTATTTAAGTTATAGTCAAGGGAATCAGGATTTAAGTAGGGATAAATAATGAGGCATATTACAAAAGATGGACGAGAGATAAGTAAGAGTAGTAAGTTGAGAGAGCCGTTGCATATCCGCTTCATAACAGTCGAACAAATTATAAATTATCTTAATTCAGAGCCTCTAAGCAGTGACAAGGATCTTATTTTGAAGTGTTATCGTAAGTGGATACCATGAACAACTTAAAGTATTCGATGGATTGTCCATACAACAGTAATGAAAACAAATCGGACCTTTAAGTATCTGTGCTGTGAAGAATTATTGCTTACCCTAAGGTTGATTTCGAGTATGGATCGTTGAGTTTTTATAGCTGACCAATGTGCACCATCCGAATTATCGGGTTTCGTTATCCATAAACAAACTGGAAAACAGCCACCTTCAAGTGTTCTCCCTGAAAATATTAACAGTAGAGTTTTATAGTACAAATCAACAAGAGTATATAACACAAAGTATATGAGCCATTCCCCTTTGAGCTTCCACTACTTTCGCAATGGCTGTCTTTCATAGTTATTTTCCAACATTGCTTTTCCTCAGATTCCTATCATTAGTATTCATAGTTATTTCATTATTCATTAGTATTCAGAGTAGCGTTGCAATTCATGTTGTAAGGCCAGGGTTGGTACTGCTGTTTTGCCTATAGCTTGGCTAGTAGCTAGTCTTGGAGAAATTAAATTTCTTCATAACATTTGTGAGCACATATTACTAGGTATGTATTCCTTTAAAAATTTGTACATGCTTTCGAAATTTGAACTCTAACGCAGTCTCATTGCTCAGGTATGAGTAAAACAGGTGTCTTTATCTTTTATGCTACGAATTTTAGAGTCTTAAACTAATATCAGAATAACTACAGTCAGATGGATATTTTCTGTCTTCACATACCAGTAACTTTCTGCTTGGCCATACTTTTGGATATAGGTGTATCCACGGCTGGCAGTCTTATTGAAGGTATGAGTGAAGTTATGGGTAGACCAACCAATTTATCACAGGATTCAGCTCCGAACAGAGCAGGTGCGTCAACACCTTCACATGACAATATGACTGCAGTTTCCGCATCTATGGTTAGCTGGAAAGAAATGTTTTAAATGATGGAATAATGAGAAAATAAATGTAATTGAATTATATTTTTGCAGGAAGATTTTAATTATATTTAAGGCAAGTATTTGTAATGATATCTATCAGCAAAAACCACCTGAATATTCTACTTATTTTTGGCGCACGGTCATCCGTTCCGGTTTAAAGGTGGGGCAGCTGTTTTACAATACATGTGTAACTTCCTCATGTCTTTAAGTATGTGGAGGCATTCTCACTTTTTGTCTATGATATCTGGTAGCTCGTTTACAACAGATCGGGAGTGGGTATTTTCGAAATGCATAAATTATTTACTTTAATGAAGGATAAATTAAAGTAAATTAGCTGTAGTTAAAACTGCAATGAGGGACAATTGATATTCTTGAGGTGTGGTCGAAGGTTGTTTTCGAAACCTCGGTAAGTATTAACTAAAAATGATAAATGCAAGTTTACTCAGCAAAAGCAGTATTATCTATAATTCTATATGGTGTTGTTTTACATATACTTATGATATTATGGGGTCCAGTAGATTTTTTTTTACTACAATGAAGTGAATTGTTCTATATTATTATTTATTAATGAACACATACCAAAACATTTTTGCAGTTGACTGGTTCTGCAACTACTAAACAAGGGCCGTCGCTGTCCAGTTGTCTAATCCATAATGATACCTGAACAGTTCCACCTTCTTTTGTTTGCAGCTCTACTACCTAAAAATGTTAAGTTTGAATGAATTCCAAATTTAATTTGAAGTAATGGTTTGATATTGCAGATTTGCAGATGCAAAGGATTGGATATTGCAGAGGTTGTCTTAAAAAACTGTACAACAATCTTACAAAATGTTTGTTAGTAATTTGTGCAAAACTTTTACTGGTGGTAGGACGTCTTGTGAGTGCGCACGGGCAGGACGTACCACCACCTTGCCTATTTCTGTTGTGAAGCAGTAATGCGTTTCGGTTTGAAGGGTGGGGAAGCTGTTGTACTGTACTGGGACCTTAGAACTCATATCTCAAGGTGGATGGCGGCATTTACGCTGTAGATGTCTATGGGCTCCGGTAACCACTTAACTCCAGATAGGCCGTGAGCTCGTCCACACATCTAAAGCAATAAAAAAAAGTTAGTCAAACATTAAGATAATAAAAAACAATTACATTTGTGTCTTGGTCTTAAAAATAATATTTAATATTACAAAACGCATAGTTCAACATTAAGATAGTTACGAATGTAGTTAATTTATTGAATATATTTTAAAATGCACAAAAGAGAATTGGAAAAATTAGAAATTATTATGATTGAGAAGAGTGTTATGGTAATACCTTTCCACTGAGTAAAATCACAGTGCCATCTTCTGAAGTATCCCCATCCTCAGGACCTTGAAGGTTAAAAGATTTTCTATTCCGTTTCCTCAAGATATCAGAGAACCGCAATCCACACAGTTCACCGGAGGAATACCCGAGTAACGAACAGGCCTTGTTATTTACAATCAGAATCTAAAAGTATGATTTTAGTGAATTCATGAAAGTTGTTGAAGGCTAAGGATTAGTTGTCCGGTATTGCCATATTGACTATGCCGGTGTTTGAACCCTACAAACAGATACCATTGTTTCTAATTAAATATATCTTAAGCAATAGGTGAATGACCTTGTGGTCCTTGTGGTCTTTGTTTAATGAAGTAGTTACGAAAATTTAACTTACATATGTCTAAGAATGATTGATTATGACAGAAAAATATCATGTCATTGTAATAAAAATAAAATCTGCCAAAATTATATGTGTTATAACTTGTGGTAATGTATGTAGGAATCTTGGGCATGACGTTGGAGGAACTAGAACAGACTTCCCAAGACCGATGCAATTGGAAAAATTTGATTCGAGCCCTACACCCCAGCAGAGGGTAATAGGAAAGAATGATGATGATGATGATGAATGTGTGTTGTGAGCCTGTATTCGTAGGTACCACTACTCTGCCTATTTATCCTGAGAACTAATCATTTTCCATGTAATATTATGATATTTGGTAACCACTTTATTTGAGGGTGGCCGAAAGATTGCCTACTCAACTAGAGCAAAATAGATTCTCAAAGATTAAGATAATAGATAATTAAGATAATACATTACATTTAATGTAAGTTTAATTTTAATGTACATTTAATGAGCAGTTGTGAATTTAAACTTACTTTTGACGAATTGGTTTCAATTGTGAACACAGCTTTGTTCAAGTTGATAGGCTGCTGCAAACGATCAGTTTGTGATTGAGCTGGAGATCCAGGTATATCACCTGACACTAGTGATGAATTGAAACGTAGACCATTTGGCCCATCCACTGTAAGTTAAATTGAGATTTTAATTACATATAAAAAATGGGAAAGCCCATAACCCACATGCTTTAAGCTGATAAAACTTTATGATGTCGGTTTCACGAATCAACATCAATTGAATAAATGTTACATCATCATCATTTGATGAAAGTTGTCCCCTTATCTTTCAACACATAATTTTTTTATAGAAGTGATTTATAAACCATGAAAATGTTGTTACGTTTGAAGTATAGGGTACCTTGAAGAGTAGGACCAGCATTTACTACTACATCATTGTGACTTGGAAATCATATCTAAGACTGATAGTAGTCCTATGTTAGCATTAATATAATGATATCTGTATTTGTGTTCTTTATTACTTAATAGCAGGGTATAACTAGCTCATTACTGATGTGAAAAAAATAGCAAAGTTTATGCTTAATTTAAATTATATTTATTTAAAAGTGATAATTTATTTGAAATATTAAAACAGTTAAAACATACCTCGAACAATATCAATAGCTGACTTTAGTTTGGTTGGTGTTTCCAGTTCCATTGTGATAGGTTTTATTTTGCGCTTCAATCGTGGGAAGCTCTGGTTCCCTTCAAAGGAGTAATTGCTGAGTACATGCTGAACTCTAGGTTGCAGTTTAACAGTTCTGAAATAGTATTATTTAACTTTTACTACAACATCTGGATGTAGAATGTGTTGATGATGTAGAACTGATGGTGGTCGAGCATATCAAGATCCTAGTTTCTGACATAATCGTTGGATGTACTTTTTGAATGGTATGGCAATGGTTAAACTATTCAGACTTTGACCTCATACCAGAAGGTGGGTAGCAATTAGCACACACAGTTTGATATTTTTAGGCTGCAGTAATTGATCCTAAATGGTTTGAATACTGCAGGTAACAGGTGGAGAGAAAGCTTACTTTCCCATTAGAAAATATGTATCACAGATATTGGACTAAATGTTTGTTTTATAGTTACATTTTTCAGTAAAATTCTTCACATACCTGCATATGTAATCAGTTTCAAGATACTGATGTGGGGAATGCAAATTTGGACTATCATGTCTCAATCTATGAAAGGTATATTTTGATTTCTGTAATTAAATTCAAATGATATGGTTACTACTATCTGTTTCAAATAAAAAATACCTAATAATAACATAGCATTCTTAATAAGGATCTTTCTTAACTCACAGGTTTTGGTGTCAAATTTAGATGTTCAGGAGAATAAACATCAACAAATCTTCCCAATCTAGGTTTTACAGGTGTCAAGATGGAAGAATCCGTTAAATTACTCCTGAAAAAGTGCTATACTAAGAAAAGTGTTTGAATACTATTGTTACTTACTGCGGCGCAGACTTAGATTACAAAAAAAACATCAAACAATATTAGATGCGCTGTAAAAATGTTATAAGTAAGCTTAATGATTTATTTACACCTTTCAAACATATTTTGGATGAAAAATCAATAAATTATAGCGCGCAAGTTCAAAAAATAGTTTGTACTTTTTGAAGTTTTATTTTACCTGTTTAGATTCAGCATTTGTGACCTATCCATTTTGATAGTTTAAGAATATTAAAAAAAAAATCAATCAAGTTTTATCTCAAAATAATTCTTTCAAAATTTACCGTTGTTCGACAATAATTTAAACTGATGATTTAAAATGACATGACATTATTGACATTTGATGAAAGAAACATTCGTTCTAAAGGTTTATTTACCAAGGTCCACAGACTATATATTACTTAACTGGAAAAATGATCAGCTGTTTGATGTTGTTTAGCATCAGACTGTTAGCTGTATTTTCGGTACAGATTTTTTTAGCAATGGTCGACAGTCAATAAGTTTATATAATAATATACCTACATATCGGCTTGCATCATAGAGTTACTATTCTAACTGGAGTGCTTACTTCGTTTGACATAAAAACTAAAAATATACTTTATCTCTATGGCTTAAAGTTTATTTTTAAATAGCAAAAGATGTAAGGAAAAACGGTCTGAAAAGAGAATGATTATTAAGTGGTGGTGTCCCTCTCGCACATTTTACAAACAAAAAGCAGTGTTGCTAGCTTAGNACCGTAACCAGGAATAGCGGGGCCGCCGGGGACTAGGGGCCTGGTTCTGCGGTGTGCAATCATTTTGGAGGTTTATTAGCCTACTGGTACCACGCTGGCTAGACGGGTTGGTACAGGGTTTAATTTCGAGTTTTCCTTCTCTCACACTAGTAAATATTGTGTGTTATGCTTTCCCTTTTGTCGCCTCTTACGACTCCCCTGGGATGGTACTGGGGGTGGTGACAAAAGTATTCTAATGCCGTCACCACACGGCAATGTCCATGTCGTCGTCTAAATGGGTCTAAAGGATAAGACGTCCGGTGCATTAATATCTAGCGATGCATCGTTGTCTGAATTCCGCAGGCAGGTACCCATTTTTCTAATGAAATAGGTACTCAACAAATGTTCACGATTGACTTCTGCAGTGAAGGAATAACATTGTGTAATAAAAAATCAAACTCGACAAATTATAATTTGCGTAAATACTGGTGGTAGGACGTTTCGTGAGTCCGCACAGGTAGGTAGCACCCTGTGTATTTCTGCCGTGAAGCAGTTTCGGTTTGAAGGGTGGGATAGTCGTTATATTGGGTAGGTGGCGGCATTTACGTTGTATATGTCTATGGGCTTCGGTAAACATTTAAAACCAGGCGGGCTGTAAGTTCTTTCACCCACCTAAGTAATAAAAAAAGAAGTAAATAAACACTACATTATTGGTGACTACACTATTTACATCAATCTGCATCTAGGTAGATTCTTATAATATTAGCATTAAAGAAGAGGCATTCTGAGGAAGGTGATACGACACAAATTATTTGTTTTATTAAATTATTGAATTCTTTATGGAACATAGCGCTAGTGTGTCATAATTTGTCATGTTATTTAGAAACATAGATAAAACATTATAATGTTTTAATCAATATCTACTAATTAGTTGTTAGTACAATCTAAAAAGCAAAGTTATAATTGACTCAATTTATGTTTTTGAAGCTTATGAACGTAGGTAAAGTAGGTATTTAAATATAATTATAATTTGTGACGAACCCAATAGGGCTAAAACGTCTTTAAGAACTTTTAACTTAATACAATGGTTGTTGGTATTTCTGTGTAGGTCTCTGTTATGATAAAGCTAATATTATCGTATGTAGGTGGCGCGCTTTTTTTTTCTTTTTTTTTCCTGCCTATGTTGGCCTATGCTGGCTTAGCCTTGAGAGGCTATTTCAGCTTCTCCTTGACGTCTAGGTGAGCTCACGGGGCCCAAATCGCGAGTGTTGCTAACACTGGCCCTAGCAAGAGCAGTGCTTTGCACAATCTACCACAGGATCGGAAATATTACATTTAGCGATTTTCAGTGTGCTTAGCAGAGCCCCTAGCGTCAAATGTAGGCAAACGCTCCAACTCCATACCAACTAACTTTTACGCTATCCAGAACGTTAAAAAGCTCGCACTAAGCACACTGAGGAGAGACAGCGATGGTTTTATTAGTAATAAATAAATGGGTCTCGAACAAGCCTCAACTCTGACTTACCATTCGCTTTTAACGTAGAATTGTAGTGGATAAAATATTTTTTAACCTTACCTTTTTTAGAATACGCCTGGCACAATTGTCTTATTTAGTAGACTTTATACGCGCGGTTTCTACGCGCATTATATCCTTCAAGATGTCGATGATCTGTCCTAGTATTGTTAGGTAACGGTCTTTCTCTAAACCAATAAAGAAACAGGATTGTATAGGTGGAAATCGTCAATGCTATTTTGGTTCAATAAAAGCTCAACAGTTGAACTAATCATGTATTGCCATAGATGGCGTTATTTTACAAACTATTTTATGTGAGTCCGGATATTTTTTTCTAATTTAATACTTATAGCTTAAATATTTTCAACTATAAAACATAATGTTTTGGAAGAAAAAAGAAGAAAAATTACTCTATATATATTAAAAAAATTAAAGCAGATTTGAAATATATACTTTACGTTAAAACAGTACGGTTGTTTCAACAGTACAATCGACTGGGAGTTTGGCGCCTCCTGTAATCCGGCTACCCGGAGGTCGGGTACGGAGGATGGTTTGAGGTCAGGACTTACTGGTGCTGAGTGGTCCATGTTGACTGGACGTCCGCACTAAGCCTGGTGTTAATATGGACCCCCCGAAGGAGTTTGGGGGGTGCAGGTTAACTAAGGAGGGGCGAACCGGGCCAGGGGGGAAACCCAGCAGCCAAAAGTCCCCGCATCGGGCAGTAGTGGGATAGCGGCCGGGAGTGGACGCTCAGTGACAGCCTAACCAATACAATCAGACCCGTTCCTTTTGCTGTTTTTTTTTGTTTCAATACATTTTGTATATTTTAGTATTTAAAAAGCGACACAATATTTTTTTTATAAATATTCATAACACTAAAGCTACTAATCAAACAAAGAAAACATTGACAATTTGATTTTAATACTTTTTTTTTTAGGCTTGAAGGATTACTGGTGGCCCGGAGGCCTTTCCAGTTTCACCAAGACTGGTGGGCGAGCAAAGGCTCAGCCAGTAGGGGTGGGATTTACTAACAGCTGCTCGAGCGCTTCCGAAGGAGACCTAACAGCTTAAGAGCAACTGCTTCGCGAATGGAACTACTACCGGATCTGAATTGGGATCGGATTTCTATTACTGTTGTGAGCCCACGAGTATGACAAGTAGTCATCATCACTTATGAACCTATTTCCAGCGGCACAGCCAACCCCCCTGCCTAATAGGAGAGAAAATTTTACTTGACAGTTTTCTATTTGTCTATTTATAACAAACTGATTTTCAGTTTAATAACAGTTCTATATGTGTCGATGTATGACTTTACTATCTTGATAGCCTTGATGGTCTGGAGGTTGGTTAGCTTGGACGCTGTATCGCGATATCCGGCTTCAGTGTCGGGTCGAAACCAGAGTGTCTCTCCAAAGGCTGGCTACACATTGCGTGATTTTCTATCGACTGTTTTCGTTTTATGATGATATGTAAAACACGTAGCTTAGCTATCTAAACTAAAGACAATGTTTAACAATATTAGAAACTGTTAAAGGTCTTTAATTTAGGAAAGGAACTCACGACGTTACTCATAGAATAAAATGCCATAAATTACACTTAAAATAATATCAATTAATAATTAGATTTGTTCTAGATTTTTCCAAGAATGTAATAATAATAGTTGTTACAATTATGAATGTATGTTCCGCTTGTTGTCGGTACTTTCAAATCTCAAGGTCTTCTCATACGCCCAGATGTAGTTCAACAATTTCCATATTCACGAGCTAAATGAATAATGAACCTTAATCCGTGAAGATAAAGATGATGAACACTTAAAAACACTGTTAGTAAAGCCTGTAAGTATTCGTTTACTTGTTTTATAAATTGTAGATTAATTAAAATATAGAATATAAGCAATATATATTGCTGTATATGTTTTGATAGTAGTTAAGGGCCGGATTGGTCACGAGACTATTCGACGGTCCAAAGTTACGGAATTTAGTTTTACTTACTTCGCTTGGCTTGACGTTCTTAATGTACCGATTATTTTATTGAGTAAAATCTAATACTATGTACTTAGTATAGACAGTAACCTATACGATGCAGTCCTAATGTCCTTACGGATCCACTAGATCCATTAACACAATAATTAGACGTCTATAGCTTTACAATTAGGAGCAGGCACAGGGACCCCAGTAACCGTATCCTACGATCTCGTCAACGAGTTCGGCGTGAAACCTAACCCATGACATCAGCCCGATAAGTTTCCTGCCGGATCAGTAGGTCGTGTTTCCAATCCGGTATTAGATGGATCCGTGAAGTAGCTACCCTCGAACTGTCGGGCGTTCGGGTGTTCGGGCAGCTATCAGCAAATACTACCGCTTCCGGCTGAACCGGGCCTACCTGTGCTAATGAAACTGGTAAAGTGTTAGGGTCACCAGTAATCCTTCTTATCTAAAAATGTATGCATTGTCACAAATCTATAAAACGTCAATTCATCATTATATTATACTAGCTGTACCCGTCCGCTTCGTTGGGCATTAAAAATTAACATTATTATTTCTCAGCCCCACAAAGACTCATAATTAACGCCCCCGCAACTGGTGTAGGGAGTCCAACACTCGTATAAATATTAGCTTATCCATTAAGTACATATATTTTCTATATGGATACCAAGTTTCAAGTCAATCGGATGCATGGTTCAGTAGTTATAACGGAACATCCGTAAAAACCACTGTAGATTTATATATTAGTATAGATAAGCGGGAGTATTTCAGAGGATAGTCTTACGGCCCGTGTGCTTAATTCTTATCGTAAGTGTTAAAATTAAATATGAGACAGATTTTCCCGTGAAGCTGTTATGTGTATAGAGTTGAATACCACAAAGCCGTTTCTAAGGCATCTGAGAATTTGATGTAGTGCTCTGTCTGATTTTGTATAAGCTGATTGATTCACGCATTATTAATAAACCAGACTATCCTATACAGAGTATTATTTGTAAGAAACGCGGAAATAATAAACGCCACAACTAGCAATAAGACAAATTTCATGATACCTACCTTAAATGTTGATATCTATTTAAAGATTCATTCTATAGAGCGTGCCCAATTAGACGAATACATACATTACGGTTTCAAAATAAAATAAAATGAATTATCCTTCAATACCATTATCCTTCATTGAATGCAATATATATTTTTTTGCGTATTGTATTTCCATCTAGTCCCTATTTGACTTGCACCTCAAGATTGTTGAGCCTAACTTACCCTTCGATCTAAATTTACAAGAAAGACACTTAAACCTCCAACCACAGTGCCATAAGAGGAATTGCAGCAATTTCCCCCTGCTTAAAATAAATAAATAGGTAACCACTCACTATCAGCTAGGTCGTATGCTCGTCTGCCTACAAGGGCAATAAAAAAAAAGGTGCATATTATTTACCTTTATGGCTATGTCAAAATTACGGGATAATGTTTTGTAAGAAATTTACATTCAGTGTAGTACTTTGCATTCAATGTTCCCACCTGAATCTAGACGAGGAGTTCACGATAGACGTAGGCGTCGAATTTATGTTTTCATTTATTGTTCATGA